GAGAGAGGAGCGTCTTCCCTTGGGTCACACCGTCAGAGGCAGCCCTACTTGGACAGGTGGAGGGAGGAATCCACTGGGAAGGCGCTCATGGGCCGTGTGCAGACCTGCAACACACATGCACAGTACTGAGCACTGCTCGTCTCCTGGGGTTCACAGCTTTCATCAGATCCTCAATAAAGTCCAAAAAGTTGAGGAGGTGCCCACTGCCTCCCACCAGTGTAAATCCAGGCAAGCTAGAAAAGCAAACGCCGAAGAGCTGTCAACGGCTAACAAGATAAACAGAAGAAATTCTATGTGGATCCTGATAACAGACTACAAGCATGACAGGAATGGGAGAGTCCACAAAGGCAGAGACTAATACATTTAATATTCAAAGTCAGAATTCTTCTTATGCTAACAAAATCAAAATAAAATGACTTTAAACTACATCATTTGTTTAAAAAGAAATTCCTATAAATCAGGAATAAAAACTCTGCCTCTCAAATTGAAGAAAAACTAGGCAAGGGTTAGGAACAGACAATTCACAGAAGAAATACAGTTAATGGCAGTGGAATGCTGGAGCTGGCTGGTACTAACTCCTGACAGCCAATTCCCTACTCCTTGTTCAGTGATGTCACGTTAATGGCTTGAAATTGGACATGGTAGAGGTTTTCACAGCAGAGAAATCAGCTATAAATCAGGGCTGTTTGTATTTTTTTTTTCTTCAAAGATCCAGTTTACTAGCTTACCACTGGCTAATAGATGTATCAAAAGGAGTTTGAGTATATCAGTAATCAAATAAACACAAAAAGAAGGGATAAGTATATTTCATCCATTCCCAAGTCCTGCTAATTAAAGACGTCTGGAAAAAACTCTTAGCAACTGAGAGAAGACCCTGAGAACTGGAAAAAGTGAAGCACACTGGCTCAGAGCCCAACAGCTACTCAGCGCTCATTCTCATGCTCGGTTTTGTTTTTGTCCTTTCATGCATCTTGGTGTGGGTTCTGGAGACGCCCACAACCTGGAAATCACTAGTGGCACCAAACAAACAAACAAACAACCCGTAAAGCGAAACACCCAGAAAAGCCTGCCCCTTCCGGTCCTGAAAGAGCAGCTTTAGCCTCCTCGGTCTGACTGCAGCTCGATGCCAGAGAAAAGCTACGTCCCCCCCCCCCCGCCCCGCACCCAGCATCACGGCCATCTCTGCTTTCCATCCCTCCCTGCAGTAATGGCCACGTCCTCCTCTGGGATGCAGCCTGGACAGCACTTTTAATGGACCTCTCACTTCCACAGAATCCAAAAGAAAGAAGTACCAAAAGAAGAAACCGATCAGCCCAGACTTCTATATCCAGCAAAAATGTCCCTCAGGCATAAAGGCAAAGTGAAGACATTCTCAGATCAAGGAAAACCAAGACAACTGGTCACCCACAGACTCGCTTTCAAAGAATGGCCAGGGGGGCCAGCGCTGTGGCTCACTTGGTTAATCCTCCGCCTGTGGCGCTGGCATCCCATATGGTGCTGGGTTCTAGTCCTGGTTGCTCCTCTTCCAGGCCAGCTCTCTGCTGTGGCCCGGGAGGGCAGAGGAAGATGGCCCAGGTGTTTGGGCCCTGCACCCGCATGGGAGACCAGGAGAAGCACCTGGATCCTGGCTTCAGATTGCCACAGTGCCAGTGGTTGCGGCCATTTGGGAAGTGAACCAATGGAGGGAAGACCTTTCTCTTTCTCTCTCTCTCTCTCTCTCTCTCTGTCTATAACTCTACCTGTCAAATTAAAAAAAAAAGAATGGCCAGGGGCTGGCACTGTGGTGCAATGGGTTAAAGCCCCGGCCTGCAGCGCCGGCATCCCATATGGGTGCCGGTTCGAGTCCTAGCTGCTCCTCTTCCAGTCCAGCTCTCTGCTGAGGCCTGGGAGGGCATTGGAAGATGGCCCAGGTGTTTGGGCCCTGCACCCGCATGGGAGACCAGGGAGAAGCACCTGGCTCCTGCTCCTGGCTTCAGATTGGCGCAGTGCCAGTGGTTGCGGCCATTTGGGAAGTGAACCAATGGAGGGAAGACCTTTTTCTCTCTCTCTTTCTCACTGTCTATAACTCTACCTGTCAAAAAAAAAAAAAAAAAAAGAATGGGAGGGGCTGGCACTTTGGTGTAATGGGTTAAAGCCCCAGCCTGCAGCGCCGGCATCCCGTATGGGTGCCAGTTCAAGTCCTGGCTGCTCCTCTTCCAATCCAGCTCTCTGCTATGGCCTGGGAAAGCAATAGAAGATGGCTCAAGTCCTTGGGCCCCTGCACCTGCATGGGAGACCCGGAAGAAGTTCCTGGCTCCTGATCAGCTCAGCTCTGGCCGTTGCAGTCATTTGGGGAGTGAACCAGTGGATGGAAGACCTCTCCCCCTCTCTCTCCCTCTCTCTCCCTCTCTCTGGCTCTGGCTCTGGCTCTCTGTGTAACTTTTTCAAAGAAGTAAAATAATTCTTAGAATGGCCATAGGAGGTTTTCCAAACAGGAAAGATACTGGAGAAACATGGAGCATCAACAGTGAAGAACGAACAGAAGTGGCAGATACTTGGGTGAACGCTGTAGGCTCTTCCATACGTTATGTTTGGCTGGAAGCAAAAATGGTGTCATCTGACGTGGTTCTCATCGCACATGAAAGTGGGATCGAGGCATCTCCGTTACAGAGAAGGAACGGAACGGTCCTGTATTCCACCTGAAGCGGTCAGAGACTGAAGCCAGCAGACTGTCACCATGTGCACGTCCTTGGCCTGTAGAGGCCGTTTCAGCCATGGCTGAGCAGGGGCTCCCGACGTGTGGTGCTGTGTGAAGACATGATCACGTGGTCTCTTACGGGCCAGGCATGCTGACAGGTATCTTACAAGGCACAGCAAAATCTCGTCTCACCTGACAAGGGATCATCCCGCCCAAAATGCTGATATTGAGAAACCCTGTCCAAGATCAGTCATACCAAAAACTACATAAAGACATAGGCTCGAAAACACTGTAGAGAAATCAACATGGAAAACTACGAAAAGTTCAACTAAACCACAGGCAAGGCGGAGTATAATGAACAAAAATTGGAGGAAGCAAACAATATTATAGTTAAATCCTAACGTGACAATAACTGCATTACATGTAAATGGTGTGAACAACCTATTAAAATACAATGACTGACAGAATGGATGGGAAAAACGTGAACCAAATAATGTGTTGATAAGCAATTGTTTTCAAATATTGTGCCATAGGAAGGGTAAGAGGATAGAAAAATATCTTCCTTGCAGATAAATTAAAAAAAAACCTAGAGAGGATTTATTCACATCAGATGAAATAGATTTTAGAACAGATTACCAAAGCTAGACATTAAATAATGATAAAGTTTAATTCACCAAGAGGATACAGCACTCCTAATTGTGTGTATCATAAAAAACAGAACATATGAGGCAAAAAACTGATGAACTAAAATGACACACAATTATAGCTGGAAACTTCAACATCTCCTCTCAATAACTGATAGATTAAAATCGAGGTATTTGACAAAAAGTGAGGTAGTCTGTCAAACTGCAAGGCTTTGAAATGTTCAGATTGATTTAGTGCTAGCAAAGTGATGTGAGAAAGACAGTGTTGTAACAAACGTATGTGACGGTTCTGAAAAGAACATTAATCTCCATATCATGGGCTTCAAAAGGTCATACCATATTTCCAACCAAATATTTCATTTTTAAGATTCTCCTAAGAGAAAAATTAAACCCCGAAATTTATCTGCCTAGACCTGCATAACAGAGATGTTCTAAGAACATCAGAGATGATCGGTCAGCTTTTCACCGCTACAGCGGGTGCCCGAGAGGATCTACCTGCGAGGGAAAGAGGCTCATTTGCAGCTCACAGTTTTGGAAGCTCTCTCCGGCTCAGGTGGGCGTCTTCGGTTTGGCGTCGGGTGAGGAGGGCGCGGTGTGTGCAGAGGAGCGGAAAAAGAGCACGCGGCAGGCAGCGAGGCTCGCCTTCCACAACCAATCCTCTCGTGAGAACCACCTTGCAAGGCCACACCCCCAGCACCCAGCAACCCCAGACCTCCCGCCAGGCCCCCTCCTGCACACCACAACTGCATCCATCTTCACCCTCCCAGCAGCCCCAGCCCACGGCCCTGGAGTTTCAAGTCCTGCATGGGTTAGGGAGACAGATCGCATTCAAACTACAGCAAGAGATAGCCAAATACGCCCACTACTTGGCAAATACCTAAAAAAAAATCCCATCTTCAATTATAGAGCTTTCATTAAAATAACATTTTTGAATGCCATGGTAAATGTGAATGACTTGAAGGCAGAAAAGCAATATGTATAAAAGTTATGTACACAGAGGGTGATCTAAATTATGCTAAAATATACCTAACTGTAAATACATAAAAATTGCTAGAAGGAAACTAGTGACAGCAATGAAAAATCACCAGTGATTATGACGTCTTCGTGTTTTTCTTTTGCTTGATCCCTGCTTCCCCTCAAGTTTCCTGTTGTGAACCGTCACAGTCATGGTCAAAGCAAACTGTTACTTGCACAAAGAGCATAAAAGCTGACACGCTAGACACAGAGTATCCAATGGCGTGCTGGGACAGAGAAACTCCATAGGTGGCAAATATTTATAAACAGTTTTGAAAATGAAAAATGGTGTGCACAGTCATGATTGTCCCTCAGGGTGGCCACCTGTTCTGGATTCCCTGTCTGTTTTATTGTCCAAGCCTAATTATTAATAGTGCCACCTGCTGTACTCAAAAGTGCCATGATGTAGAAGATAAGTTGCATGGGTATCTTAACTGTTCTGAATATAAATAACAGTAAATTACAATGTACTCGACCCTTACTGTAGTCAAGGACCTGAACTAAATACTTTATGTGGAGGCTGGCGTTTAGCCACCCGAGTACCTGAATTATTTCCATTTCATAGAAGCTCTGAGAAGCGAAGCGGCTCACCCACATTTGCACGTCAGCAACAGGCAGGATCTGGGTTTGACCCACTTCCCGTCAAAGTGAGCACCGGGGCTTACCTGGGCTTGCCTGAGCACAGGGTTGGCGGGCAGGGGTCTGGCAGGGACACTGGGTGCCCGAGGGACCTGGTGCAGGGGCGGGAGCACTCGCTGAGGTGACTGGGGCACAGGGACGTCACGGTCGTTAAGGGGTCTGCTGATGTCGACGTTTGGACACTGTGGCCATCTCCTGGGACTGTCCTGTGGGTCAGAGCCAAGAGCCACGCCGAGATGGGTTTCACATTTAAATGACTCGAACCTAGGGATGTTAGCAAGAATCCCTGCCGGAGGAGCAGGGCCAACTCATCTGCTTCAGCTACCTGAGGGCGTGCTCAAGAAATCTAGAAACTTCCCACCCTCCTTTCCCCCGAATCTAAAACAGAGGATTGATATAAAAAAAAAAAGCTGGTGTGATGAACAAAGAGGTGCCAGACACTGAGAAATGCCACATATGGAGCCACGAACTCAGGTCTCAAGGGAGTGAGTCACCCAGACGAGGTGTAGAACAGGACGTGGCTGGCTGAGTGTGCCCAGGTCAGTGACAGCAAGGAGACAGGAGCCCCAGCAGCCAGGTGAGGGCAGGGGCTTGCGTCTGGAGACTGTCACACGGTCCCCTTGCTTTTGGAGGCAAAACTCAACAGCTGAAGTGAGGGACTCCTCCTCCCTCCTCTTCTCTCTCCCCCTTTATAAAAAGCTGTTCTGCTGAGATATAACTGACGAGGAGTTAAGTGTGCATCTTCCAACTGTACAATCAGGCGATTCTGGACCCATGTGACACGTGTGAAACCATCACGGCTGGCACAGCAGTGAACATGTGCCCCAGCCCGGCGTCTCCGCCTCCGCCTTCCCTCCCACGCCACCAGCCCCTCATCCACACGGGGCTTGCAGTTTTGAGACTTTTGTTTTTTTTTGACAGGCAGAGTGGACAGTGAGAGAGACAGACAGAGAGAAAGGTCTTCCTTTGCTGTTGGTTCACCCTCCAATGGCTGCCGCGGCTGGCGCACTGTGGCTGGCGCACAGTGCTGATCCGAAGCCAGGAGCCAGGTGCTTATCCCGGTCTCCCATGGGGTGCAGGGCCCAAGCACTTGGGCCATCCTCCACTGCACTCCCTGGCCACAGCAGAGAGCTGGCCTGGAAGAGGACAGAATCTGGTGCCCCGACTGGGACTAGAACCCGTTGTACTGGCACCACAAGGCGGAGGATTAGCCTAAGTTTTGAGACTTCTACATAAGTGGGCTCATAGAGGATGTCATCCTTTTCCATTTGACTTCTTTCACTTGGAGTAAATATTCTGAGATTCTCCCACAATGCACCTGTGAATGGTTCCGCCCATCTTAGGGTTGCATTCCATTCTCCCACAATGCACCTGTGAGTGGTTCCTCCCATCTTAGGGTTGCATCCCATTAAGTAAATGAGCCAGTTTGTTTATTTTACCTGTTGATGGGCATTTGGGTCATGTCCAGCTTTTGCCTCTTAAAAATGAAGCCAATTTTGCTAAAGTCCCACATTTGAGGCTAGAAGGCGGTAAAGGCCATCAGGAATGGTAGTGGACACCAACACTCTACTCTTGCTCGACATTTTCTGTTTTTTGAGTTACAGAGAGGGGGGGAGAGAGAGAAATCTTCTATCCACTGGTTCACTCCCCAAATGGCTGCAGTGGCCAGGGTGGGGCCAGGCCAAATCCAGGAGCCAGGAGCTTCTTCCAGGTCTCCCACATGAGTGCAGGAGCCCAAGCACCTGGGCCATCCTCCACTGCCTTCCCAGGCTATTAACAGGGAGCTGCATCAGAGCAGCCGGGACTCGAACCAATGCCCACACGGGATGCTGGGCTGCAGGTGGAGCTTAGCCCACTTTTTCACAATTCCGGCCCCATCGGCATATGGGGGCAGGTGCTGGGTGTAGCATCCCACATCCCTAGGTTTGAGTCAATTCCCACTGCCTGATTTCTGCTAATGTGCACCTGGGAGGCGGTGGGTGACAGTCCAAGTAGTTGGGTCCCCGGCTCACCTGGGAGACCTGGATTGAGTTCCTGGTTCCAGCATTTGGCCTGGCTCAGCTCCAGCTGTTGAGGGTACTTGGGAGTGGACCAGTGGGTGGGAGATCTCTCTCTCCCTCTCTCTCCCTCTCTCTCCCTCTCTCTCCCTCTCTCTCTCTCTCCCTCCCTCTCTCTATCTCTCCCTCTCTATCTCCCTCCCTCCCTCCCTTTCTCTCTCTCTCTCTCTCCCTCCCTCTCTCTCTCTCCCTCTCTCTCCCTCTCTCTCCCTCTCTCTCCCTCTCCCTCCCTCTCTCTATCTCTCCCTCTCTATCTCCCTCCCTCCCTCCCTCTCTCTCTCTCTCCCTCCCTCCCTCCCTTTCTCACTCTCTCTCTCTCCCTCTCTCTCCCTCTCTCTCTCCCTCCCTCCCTCCCTCCCTCCCTTGCAAATAAATAACCAGTTTCTTTCCTATGGAATCTGTGATGATGATGTTTTTGCAGTCCTTTCTCATTTAACGTCAATCTCGTTCACGGTCATGGTCTGGACTCTCACTGAGTTCCATATTCAGGAATTCCTGTGGAGAGGCCGGTATTTGACACAGAGGTTTAGAAGCTGCCTGCGATTGCCCGTAAGTGCCTGGGGTTCAAGTCTCAGCTCTGATCCCCATTCCGGCATCCTGGGAGGCAGCAGGTGCCGGCTCAGGTAATTGAGTCCATGCCACTCACGTGGGTGACCTGGACTGACTCTCCAGCTCCCAGCGTGGACATCTGCAGAGTGACCCCACATATGGAATAGAGGGATTGATTTTTTTTAAATTTAGATTTAAAAAAACTGGTATACCTTTCTCTCTGTCTCTCTCTCTCTAACTCTGCCTGTCAAAAAAAAAAAAAAAAAAAACTGGTATAATGAACAAATAGGTGCCCTACACTGGAGAATCCCGAGTGAAGCACGGACCCGGGTCTTGGGAGTGAGTCACCCAGACGAGGTGTGGAAAGCGCATAGCCCGGCTAAGCGTGCTGAGGTCAGTGTCAGTGGGGAGGACCCAGGGGAAGAAGAGACAGGACCGGGGCCGGCGCTGTGGCGCAGCGGGTTTACGTCCTGGCCTGAAGCACTGGCATCCCATATGGGCACCAGTTCGAGACCCTGCTGCTCCACTTCCCATCCAGCTCTCTGCTATGGCCTGGGAAGGCAGTGGAAGATGGCCCAAGTCCTTGGGCCCCTGCACCCACGTGGGAGACCTGGAGGAAACTCCTGGCTTTGGATCGGCTCAGCTCCAGCCATTGTGGCCAACTGGGGAGTGAACCAGCGGATGGAAGACCTCTCTCGCTGCCTCTTATCTCTCTGTGTAACACTCATTTTCAAATAAATAATTAAATCTTTTTAAAAAAGAAGAGACATGACCCCAGCAGCCAGGGCCAAAGCTCCCTCCTTTCTTGTAGCTACATTAAAAAAAATCAACTTGGGGTAAAAAACAAACCAGAGTGAATTCAAGCAATAATTCACCGGGGTATCAGAAAAATCAAGAGACAGTAAGCGGGGGGCCTGAGCAGCTATTGGTTAAGGGTCCAGAACATGGACGCCCAGGGTGGGCAGGGTCCGCACAGCTCAAGCTGCAGCGAAACGGGCTCAGCTGAGACTGGCGGACCTGTCTGCAACATTTGGTAAGGGACAGTGCGCCGAGAGAACTCCCCCAAACCTGGCTGCTGGCTTGGAGACCTCGGCAGGGCCCCAGCGTCCGAGGCTTGCTCAGACTGCGGACCCCGTGGGCCCCTGGGAATGTGGCTGGTCCCGGGGCCTGGGGGGTGATGGCTCTCAACGTGCCAGACACCTGTCCCGCAGGGGATGGAGTGGGGCCACCCTGCCGGTCCTGACCGTCACCAGCACCTGTGGCATCGAGTGTGCTGGATGGGTGTTTCACAGGCAGCACATCTAGGGTCCCATCCCTATTCAGTCTCTTACGGAAAACCTCACGCACGCACCGCGTTCCTGTGTTTGTCCAGGACTTACCTTTGATGTGTCGGGACGCAGCTGCCTGCTCATCAGACCTTTGCCGAGGTGGGCCAGGTGAGCCTGGCCGGCCTGGGAGCCGCTGGGTGGCCGGGCGGGACGCACGCACCTGCAACACAGCCCCACGCGTGTGAGCACGGGCGCTCCCCCTTCTCGTGAACGGCCTGTGTTGTGGTCATGGTAACACTCTGCACATCATTGACTTATTCTAATTCAGTGCAGTGAACATGCAAAGGAAGAATGATCCGACAGTCGCCCTAGATTAGGAAGCAGGTGCCGACTGCCAGCTATTCTGCCGGGCGAGTTCTGCAGCCCCTGGGACAGCCGCTTTGTGACGGACTCCCAAGAGATGTCGCCTATGAAACTGACATGTCAGCGGTCACATGTGTGGAGCCACGGGGCTCAGACACTGCAGACACACACAGACACACCCTGGAGAGGACAGTGCAGGGCTCCCAGGTCTCGCAGCAGTTACTAACGTAAGGCTGGGAGAAAACACATCAGCACCTTCCCTATTTAAGTATTGAACGGCAAATAGTTTGAAGGGAAAGTCAAAGGGGCACTGGTCCGTCAGAAATTAAAAAAAGAAACCGAGCAAACTGAAAAGCCCTGCGTCTCAGCGTCCAGAAAACCTGCGCTGTCTTTGGCGAGGCGAATGAGGCGACGTGGTTGGCGGCACAGCCCCCCGGCCACCGTGTCTTGGAGCAACGATGCCCCGACCCCAGGTACCTTAGCTTCTCAAAGGTGGTTTTCTTGTTTGTGAACAGCAGTCGGACCAAGGTCTTCCTTTTGAGGTAAACCACAAACCCAGCGGCGAGAAGGCACAGGATGGTCGCCAGGATTGCTATGGTTAAGCCTTGGTTATCTGAAACAGAGCACATGTGACTCATGGAAGCAGGCCGTTACGATGAGAAATGGGGGGATCAAATTGTGACATTTATGGCGGAGCGAACTTTGAAGGAGCAGAGAGGGAGGGGGCTCACCCCTGAATGGTGGTCTCATAAACTGGTCTACTTCAAAGGTCGTGCGCGAGCTTCCGGCCACGCTGCCATCATGCAGACCAGTCTGGGTCTCGCTACGCAGGAAGAGTCTGGTGGGCGGGACCAGGGTGGGCCACACAGGCTCCCGACATGTGACAGCAGCAGTGGCAGGAAGGGATAGGCAGCCAACGCACATCTCATCAGAATCAAGGCGAACCCCAGCTAAAACCTTCGCAGCCCTCATCTCAAATGTGCAACTCCCAGCCCCTGTCTCTCATTCTTCAGTGGTAGGCTTGGCTTTGTTGCTTTGTATATTTTTAAGAGGAGACTTATTTCCGGGCATCTCAAATTAGTAAGAAAAAGAAAACTATAGGGCTTAAACAAAATGCTCAATTTTCTTGGTCATGTTTGGGTCTTTTTTTTTTTTTTTTTTAAGATTTATCTGACACAGAGAGAGAAAGGTCTTCCTTCCATTGGTTCACTCCCCAAGTGGCCACAATGGCTAGAGTTGCACCCATCTGAAGCCAGGAGCCAGGTGCGTCTCCTGGTCTCCCATGCGGGTGCAGGGCCCAAGCACTTGGGCCATCCTCCACTGCACTCCCTGGCCACAACAGAGAGCTGACCTGGAAGAGGAGCAATCCGGACAGAACCCGACACCCATATGGGATGCCGGCACTGCAGGCGGAGGATTAACCTACTGCATCACAGTGCTGGCTCCATCTTGGTCATGTTAGGTTCTTAAAAATCAGCCACTGGAGGCAAAACCCTCTCTCTGGAGACGTTTGTCTCGACGATAAAAATCAGCATGTTGGTGATTTGATGCCATTTGTTGAGGACGTCTAAGGGACCTCTCAAGGCGTGGGAAGGGAGGGGGCATCAAGCCTCAGCCTGGCCTGGCTACAGCCGTGTCAGAGGCAGACACCCAGGGGCACAGCTGGGCGACCGTGCAGTTTCACCTGAACTTGGATCTCTGTCCAAGCATCTCACTTTGCAGCCATGACCAGGGTGTGCTTCACGTAGTGGGTGCACAGATGGCCTTGTAGGCTGCTGGGGCTGGGTGAGGGTGACGGAAGTCACCCAGTTCCAACCCCCAACCCTGACCTCCCGACTCAGCTGTGCAGCAACCCCCACTGTGGGGGAGCAAGACCTGCACCCCAGTTTCTGGACTGCACTGCCCAACCCCCCCAGGGATGTGTCCCAGCCCAAGGAGGACAATCAACACACATCAGCCAGGATTCCCTGCTGGCGTTCCTGGAAAAACCTTGCTCCGGGACTCGTGGGTAAAACGTCACTCAGACTCCAGCCAGCTATCACAGGGCCAGGCTCTGGCTAGAGTTCTGTTGTCTCACGACACAGCTGTCTAAAAAGTGGGCAGCAAAAGTCTTGGTTCCCTAAAATCAGCCGGGAAGTCTCACCCTGATCGGTTTATGCAATCAGACATTTGCTGCCCCCGCTCCCCCCACTCAGCTGGCTGTTTCCACGGCTGCCTGGTTCTGCTAAGGGAGCCCATCCACCAAGCTGCTCAGGCCCCAGCCCCGGGCGGTGCTGTGGTCCACGGCTTTCATCATCAGAAGGAGCATTGAGCACCGCGTCCTGGGATCAGCCTTCTACGTCCCCTCCTGGGCCAAACTCCTCGTCTTAGCCCACCCTGCAGATCCCAATAGGTGGCAGCTCCTGCCCATGGGGCGTGCACCGTCCCCCGGGGGCCCTCCCCCCTGCCTGGCCCCTGTGGCCAGGTTGCACACGCTTTACCACGTCTCCGCAGGACCCAGAGCTCCTTGTTAATGAGCAGCTGGAAGCCAAGGCCCTGCCACCTTTGGGTGCTCTGTGCTGGACGCCGCATTCCAGTATTCGGTTGTTGCAGCGAGAGCACGGCGGCCAAGGCTGAGCTGTCACTGAGGCCAGGGGACGAGCTCCAGCGAGGCTGGAGAGCAGTGGGGACAGCTGGGCACAGGTCAGGCCTGTGCACACCTGTCGCCTGTGTGAGTGGTGTGGGGTGGCAGCTGCACCAAGCACAGCCCCGGCTTCCCCACCACTGCGATGGACGCTCACCAACAAGGCAAGGCTTGGCCATCCTTTTCCTGCGTGGGCCAGGAAGAGCCATAACCGGGAGCTGCAGGGAGCGAGGGAGAGGCGCCCGCACGGCCCGTCCTGGTTCTCTGCACAGACGTGCCTGGTATGGCCTGACCCCGCAGACTGGTGTTGTGTCTGTTGTCATGGCGATCATGGCAGAGCCAGGATTCAAGTCTGCCAATGACAGCAGGCCTTGGGGACGAGTGAGGCGACGCCAGGCCCTCCGTGGTTCTGAGCTGCACTCCCGGCCGGCTCTGCCTCCGTTTACCTTGCTTCTCTCACTTTCCAAGCCATGTCTTTTCAGGCTGGCCCCTTAACTGCCCGGCGGGAGCTCTGAGACAGTCGCGCTGAGCTAGGAGCCCACATCTGGAGAGGCGAGCCAAGAGTGCAAGCACCGCTCCCGTTGAGAGCCTCCCCCGGGTAGGCCGGAGCCCTGTCTCCGTCTTAGCTGTGCGGCTTTGGGCGAGTTACTCCACGTTCCTGAGCCGCAGGCCCTTTATTATTATTGTTATTTTTTTTGACAGGCAGAGTGGACAGTGAGAGAGAGAGAGAGAAAGGTCTTTCTTTGCTGTTGGTTCACCCTCCAATGGCCGCCGCGGCCAGAGCACCGCGCTGATCCGAAGGCAGGAGCCAGGTGCTTCTCCTGGTCTCCCATGGGGTGCAGGGCCCAAGCACCTGGGCCATCCTCCACTGCACTCCCGGGCCACAGCAGAGAGCTGGCCTGGAAGAGGGGCAACCAGGACAGAATCCGGCGCCCCGACCGGGACTAGAACCCGGTGTGCCGGCGCCGCAAGGCGGAGGATTAGCCTAGTGAGCCACGGCACTGGCCTTCCGCAGACCCTTTCGATGTGAAGAAAGCACTGGTTTGATCTGGGTGTCAGATACGGCCGAGGGGACAACAGGCACCTGCGTGGCTTAGTGCCTCGCCTGCACCTGAGCCAGCTGCCGTGCTGGTACCTTCCCGAGCAGGGCTGTCACTCTGGGTGAGTTCAAGGGCGTTCAGTCCACACCCCAGGCCCCAGCACACGGAGGCCTCTGTTGCGCTGATGCAGTTTTTACCCTCAGCAGTTTGCTGTAGAAATTGCCCCAGCTGAGAACGGCCAAGCAGCCACTGGACCAAAGCCCAGAGCAAGGAGCCTTGGGAGAGATCGGGCAAAGACGGGAGAGGGCTTGGAAACCGGGAGAGGGCACAGGCCGTCAGCCCCACGCAGGGCCTCCACGGGGTTTCCTGCTGTTGGGGCTGCACCTGCACCCACACTGTTGGCCACCACGCCCACCTGGAGCTCAGCATGCACCCAGGGACGCTGGGTCCTCACTGACCTGCTTGCCGGATGGGGCCACTGTCCGTGCTTCCTCCAAAGCCAAACTTGTCGCAGAAGGGAGGCGCCCAATGGGCCTCGCAGTGGCAGTTCTTCCTGTTGTTGCACACCTTTCGGGGTGAAGAGATGGGGGAGGCAGTGTTAGGGCCTCCTTGGGTAGGGCAGAGCCGAGTCTCTGAGCCCCAGTCAAGTGCCATGGCACAAGCAAGGGCACTGTGGCCAGAGCCCTCCCCTGGCATGCACGGATCCAGGCTCAGTATATTTCACCATGAGAAGGATGAGCCCCAACACAGCTACACCCAGGGGAGACCGGGCCCAAGGCTGAGGTGGCAACCGTCGCCTGTCGGCAGCCCTGCAGGGGACAAAGGAGGATTCCTAGGGCTGTCCGTCCCTTCTGGCTCTGCCCCTCTCCTGGCTTCCCCCTGGCCTGCTTTTTCCCTCCTGGAAGCCCTCACTGTCTGACCATGATGGCCTTGTGTCAGAGCCCCAAGGCACCGCGGGACCTATGGCCTCCAGGCCCACACTGGCCACCTTCAGCAGGGCAGTGCAGAGAGGCCAGCCAGACCTGCAGTTGGACCTGCACTTCCTGATGTCCACAAAGGCAGTGAGACTTGGACAGCGCAGTCTGAAACCAGCTGCTTCCTTCTTGCCGTCCCCAGCTCCCTCGTGGAACAAGATGGCGGCTCTGGCTGGCAAGTGAGGGGTGCCAGGAAGCAGGAGTGGGGTGATGACGGACCGAGGGTTACTGATGGGGCCTCTCCCTGACCTGCTGGACTAGCACAGGCACAAACGGAATGTGAGCCCGAAGACCAGAGGATGCTGTTTCCATGACAACCAGGGTGCATCCTTTGGTGATACGCATAAAGGCAAGGCATCTAAAAAGCAGTCCGGCCACAGGGAGTGGGTGGGAATCCGGTGGGAGCCGCGGGCCCTGCACGCAACTGGCCAATTGCACCTCTGGGTGTTTTCATACGAGAAAGTCAGCGCAGAACCACAGACACGGAGCCAACCCGAGGCCGCGGCGCTGCATCCAGTTATCGGTGCCACGTCCACCTGAACAGATTACGGAGGTTTGGAGTCCACATCCCGCTGTGACAGTTCCCTGCTCTCACTGGCATTTTTTGATCAATCCCGACAGTCAGGATTAATTGGAAAATCCCAGGGTACTTCCAAAAGTTCATGGAAAATGGAGTAAAAATTTTATTTTGGTGCAAAAGGATTTTGAAATCCATGCCTTGTTTTTGTCCATAACCTGCATCTCCCTGAACATTTCAAAGACCCCTGGTTTTTCAATGAAGATGAAGTGAAGCCAAATTAATTAGCCTGTGGCGTAGCCTGTGCCGAGTCTGTTTCCTGGGAGATGCTGCCGTTGATGTACACCCACCGGGTGCACGCACCAGCCCTCACGGCCTCCCACTGCACCGGGCACTCGCCAGCCTTTTACAACCGTGGTAAGCAGGGAAGTCACAGCCAGAACCTCAATGCAGGTGCTACTGGGACACCCGGACCAGGTGCACGGCCGGCTGCTCCACCTGCCTGGGGAGTGTGGCCTTGCCTCTCCCCCACGCAGAGGGGTGTGAGGAGCCCAGCACCCCGACTCGGGGCCTGACGTCTGTTAGTGAAACGCCAGCGCGCTATCCGAGGGCTGGGCGAGTTTGCCTCTCCCGGCTGTTAGAAACCTGGATTCAGTGAAGACACAGAGACCTGCTGTTGTGGCACAGCGGGTAAGGCCGCTAGCTTCAGCCTGCCGGCATCCCACACGGGCACAGGTTCCAGCCCCGGCTGCTCCACTTTGGATCCAGCTCCCTGCAAACGCTCCTGGGAAGGCAGCAGAGGATGGCCCAAGTGCTTGGGCCCCTGCACCCACGTGGGAGACCTGGAAGAAGCTCCTGGCTTCAGATCAGCTCAGTTCTGGCCACTGCAGCCATTTCGGGAGTGAACCAGCAGACAGAAGATCTCTCTCTCTCTCTCTCCCTCTCTCTCTGTCTTTTCCTCTGAGTAACTCTTTCAAGTGGATAAAAAAATCTTAAAAAACAGGGCTGTGATGTCGTGAGTCAGCTGCACTTGTGGCCATCACCCCCACAGTAGGGCGCCATGTTGGAACGTGGGCCAGCGCGTGCGAGCTTTAGAAAGAGAATCCGGAGCCTGAGCCTTGCAGGAAAGGTTTCAGGACAAAGCCCTGGCGGGGATGACCAAGGTCAAGTCCATCAGGAAGAATAAATTACTCTTTAAACAATTAAAGTTGTCTTCCCCCTAAGGAGTCTCCGGGTTGAAACAGTGGCCTGCTTCGAACCCGCTGGGTGGGATTTCAAGACCGTGTGGCGAGGACAGTCCGCCGGCCTTGTTTTAATTTCTTTGGGGAACAGTTCAGCTCAGAAACACATCTGCGCGGCGGCGGCAGGGACAGTGCTGCCCAAATCCCAGTGTGCAATCTTCTTCGGGAAGGAGGGCTAATTTTAAAATTACTTTGAAGATGACAAAATTCTTTTTAGAAGTCACAGAATGTTAATTTAAAAGATAATTACTGCTCAATCTGATTTTCTTTGTGAAATAAAAATGACATTTCGCACACTATGTAAAGGTCAAAGAAAATGAATGTCTTCAGAAAAAATCCCGAGCAGACACTGGCCGCTGTCGTTTTAAAAAGCCGTGGGTTGTAAAAACCTTTGCTGAACGCGTGAGCTGTGGCTAGCTGGCTGCCCGCACGGAGGCGGCCGGCTGCTTACCCCTCTGCCATGGCACCGCCTCGCACACTCGTGAACACCGAAGACGCTGACGTTCTGACACCGCCGATTGAGGCAGATCTGAGAGAGAACACAGCAAACATCTCAGCGCCTCTGAAAGCACACGCCAGCACACACCACACACACACACCACGCACACACATGCCAACACACACACAAAACACGCAAGCACACGCAAGCACACACCACACACACAACACGCACACACAAACACGCAAACACATGCAAGCACACACCACATGCACACACACATGCCAGCATACACACAAACACGCAAACACATACAAGCACACAGATAACATAAATACGCACATGTATGCACACACAACACACATGTCAGCATACACACAAAACATGCAAACACACACAAGCACACACCACACACATGCCAGCACAGACACAAAACACACAAACACACACAGCACACACAACAAAGAGCACAAAACACAGATAACATAAATGCGCACATGTATGCACACACACGTGCACACACACATGCAAACACACGCATGTGCGCACACATGGGGAAACGGGAGCAAGCCACGGAAGCTGGAGGAGACGGCTTTCTGGCTCAGCACACAGCAGCGCCATCGCGCGTTTTGTTCAGCTCCGCCGCGGGCCTCACTGCGACTCCAAACTCAGGGCACTCGGGCACCGTCAGCGTGAACATTCACACTTTCAGGCGTTTTACGTGGTTGTAGTCGATCCCAAATGATGGATTTTCTCCCGACTCTCGTTTGGAGCGTGCAGTGACGTCCACATTCTGGAGCGTCTGTCTTCTCTCCACGAGACGGGCCACACCCCTCCCTGGGGCCCGTACGACTCCTGGACCCCAGACTCTTTCGAGGGAGCTCTCCCACGACAGGGACCGGCAGTGTCACCAGTGCAGGACCCAGTGCAGCCACAGAAGCGCTGGGCGGAGGAGAGCCAACGGCCCTGTGGTCTCCACCTCAGCTCCACAGAGACGGGCACCTGCCGGGCAGCCCTGGGCTCCTGTCAAAGCTGCACGACACAGTCCAGACGGTGGGGACCAGGCCCTTCTCTCAGACGTCACAAACGAGTGGAGTCAAAGGACGAAGAGCCCGGATTTTGAACACAGAAGCATTTTTCGCCAAGTAGGACTTTCCTACGGGGGAGGTCGCTGCCTGCCCCTGAATGCCCTGTGGGAGAAGTGCCTGTCCCAGCGGCTCTGAGGAGCTGGTGGGATCCAGGCCGAGGGAAAGGCCACAGCCTGGCTGACACGGAAGTCGCCCAGGGTTGCAAGGCACACAGCACGGGCCTGAGAGGATTGCAGCGTGGCGGTGTGGTTCTCCTCCTCGACCCCAAGCGAGGCTGGAGACAGCCTTCAGAGATCAGCTGAGACCCCAGCTACACCTGGCTCAGGTGTCCAGACTCCAATTTAAAAATCAGGTGACATTCTAGCGTCAAGGCATGCAGAGAGGCCGTGAGGTCCAGGGGACGCCTAGCCTGTCCTGTGTTTCCTGTGCCATCCCACGCCCTCCAGGGACAGGCATGGGTGGCTCAGGCTGTTGGGGCACAGGGAGTGGGCGGGAGGAGAGTCCCTGCCCTTGGGATTCTGGGAGGGAAACAGGCCTGGCCCTGTCCTGTCTTCTCGGTGACCCCCATGGTCCTGAGCGAATGCATGACCGTGCTGAAATTAGGGTCCTATGAAAGCACTTAGAGACACCTCTGAGACCTCAGACGCGGGAAGGACTCAGGAACACTACAGGGCCGGGAAGGCAAGCCTGATTCCCCACACCTGCATCTCGGGGCCAGCCTGGTCCCTGAGATGTATGGACTTAACCTTCCAAGTCTCAAAGGACTGGATCCAGAGACAAGCTCTGAGGAGTGGGTCAAGGAAGAGAACCAGCCCCGTAGCCCAGTGTTGATGGTGGCACCAGTGAGTGTTGGCCTCTTACTTTTCCATCTGCGCACTTGGTGCCGGCAAGCACCAGCCCCGGGTCCGGCATGTCATCGCCCAGGTACACGTGGGTCCCGCGGCAGAGAATCCGGCCACCTTCTTGCAGTGGGATATTTGTTTCTATGGAAACTGCATTGGTCCCGATGACCGGCCGACTGGCACCTCCTTGGCACTGGATTTTTCCGCACTTAGCGTCTCTGGAAGGATGAGAACCAACAATTCCCAAGCAGAACAGGTGGGGGCCGAGCCCAGGCCACGTGGGAAGGGCACAGCCGCGCCGCCGTCAGGCCGTGCGGATCGCCTACCTCGGCTCGCACTTGGCGAAGGAGCTCTCGGAGTCTTTGCCGCAGTTGCCGTAGGGGTCCCCCGCGGAGTTGACCCTCTCAAAGCAGATCCCGGGGGCGGGCTTGGCACCTGGAACAGAAGCAAAGTGGCACCTGCAGCTCCCGCGAGCTTTTCTTTGAACACCGGGATTTTAGATTCGGAGGAGTCACACCCGGTGTCTCCACTGAGGCCGGTGGAGCCTCCAGCATTGACAGCCAGTGTCTTCTCTGGGCTCAGCCCAAGGCCAAGCACACATCTCGCAGCACCTGCTCTTTGGGCCTGCTATCCAGGGCTCCTGTGGAACCAGACCCGGCCTGGGGCAGCAGGTGGCTGGCTGGCTGCCAAGAAGAGGGAGCCTGCTCACCTGTTAACAACCTACATAGCCCCGTGAGGACATGCAAACTGGGGTAGCCTCCAAAGAGTGTGGGGGAAGGAGACAGAGAATGAGCGAGGGGGAGAGGGAGGGAGAGGGATGGAGAGGGAGACAGATAGAGGGAGGGAGGGGAAGAGGGAGGGAGGGAGAAAGACAGACAGACAGACAGAGAGGGAGGGAAAGAGGGGAGGAGGAAGGGAGGGAGACAGAGAGAGGGAGAAAGGAGAGAGAGGGAGGGAGAGGGAGGGAGGGAGGGAGGGAAGTGTGGGGCGGGGGAAGGGGATGCAGCTGGGGTCTGTAGTGCCAGCTCCGGAGGGCTCTGGAGTCCCAGGGTAGTGGTGTCTGTTGGAGACCAGGAGCACCACATCCTTCAGAACCACGCCTGCCTATGCTGTGGTCTCCGCCTCCCTTCCCCCACACCTTGGCATCTTGTTTGGGCATCGCCTCTCCTATCGCTTCCTTCCTGAGCCCAGCTCTGGGAGAGCTGCGTCTGCCTTTGAAAAGGGACCGCGGCTTTTGAAGGGACCAACCAGGTGAAGGGAAGGCCCTCCTCCTCCCAGGGAACAGCAATGCGCTCATTGCTAACTTCACCTTTAACCTGTGCCCAAGTCCTCCCCATCAGCCACTCACAGACACGATCATCTCATTCCACCAAGAGAGAGAAACTCCACCCAACACCACCACCTCGCTGCACGAGGCGAGCACCGTGCCCCACCACACACCAAGGCCCTGAGCCACCCCGGCCCGCACCTCTCATTTTTGTTTTTAGAACCACTTTGGAGAGGCTCCCCCAAACTGCTTTTAAAGGGGCAGTAGCCCAAACTAGAGCTGGTTTTCTGTCATGAAGACGGCAAGGACTCTTCGTCACAGCCGCCGCTTTTCCTCCATCAGTTGGCCATCCCTTTGCTCACAGTGGGGCTGCACTGCGGACATCCCCAGCTTTGGCCTGGGGTGGCGCTGACTGGAGAGTAAGGGATGGGGGTGGGGGTGCGGGTGCTGGTGGGGAATGGGGGAGGGAGCCTCACACGGAACCTGCACGTTGTCCTTAAGTCACTCCTGCTTGGGTCCTTATAACCAAGGTTCGTGGCTCCAGCTGATCAAAGCAGTTAGGGGAACCTGGCATCTAACACTGCAACAGTTGTGTGTCTTCATGGACTCTGGGTATTTATCGCTTGCCTGGCTAGCTCCGTCTCCTTCCGGTCACCCACCCTGGTCTTTCCGTCCGTCTCTCCGACCATCTGTCATGTTGTGGCCCTCAGTCACACACGTGTGTTTATTCATCCCTATTGTTCAGGTGGGGGTAGTACAGCGGTGTCCAAGTTGGACAGAACCCCTGATGGTTTGAAAATTGCAAGAAATGGAAAACAAATGAATGTTTTTCTGAAGCCCAATGTTGGGAAGTGCACAAAGGGAGAAACGGAGTAAGGGGCGTGTTTTACGGCAGCTGACCAGGGAGAAAATCTTAGAGAGGTCAGGGCTGAATCCCACCACTGGATCCTATCAGTGGTGCTACAGGGTAGGTCTCATTATCTGTTCTACGGACGAGAAAACCGGGACTTAGGAGGATACGTGTGTTGCTTCAGTTGGCGTCGCTATCAAGGGCAGGGCTGGAGGGTGGAGCCCTGCAGAGCCTTCCTGTGGAGGGTCTGGGTTCCACACCAGGCCTTAGACCCAGTGCCACAGCCCAGGCCACCCCAGGTTCCACGGACATGGGACACGGTGCTGCAGCTGCGCACTGAGGGGCTGATAAAGCGATGCAGGAAAAGAACTCGCTCCCTCATCCCCTGCTTGAGAACAGCAGGTCCGGGCAGAACAGCACCTGCCAGGGGGGCACAGTCCCAGGACATGGGGCCACTCTGCTGCTGGGTAGGGAGTCATCCTCCCCAACCCAAAGTCCTCCCCCCTGGGGAACTGTGGCCACTCACAACACTCCGCCGCACAACGTCAACCTGCCCCGTGAGGAGTTTTCTCCTTATTGGGAGCTAGAAAGAGATTTCTGTGCAGGTTCTGAGATTGGAGCTCGCACACAGTTCAGGGGCAATGGGGCGCACTGGGTGAGGGTGGGCTAGGGAGAGCCGAGGGGAGGGGAGAGGAGAGGCAAGAGATGGGACTAGGTGGGGCTGTGAGAGCAGGGCCCACGACGAGGAAGATCGGGCCGGCTCACTCGCTCTGCCTCGCCTCATGCTGCCCTCCACCGTGCTCTGACGACGCAGGAAGGACCCCCTCCCCGCCAGACAGGTGCTCTGCTCTCTGCTCTCGCCTCCAGATCAGTGAGTCAAGGAGCCCTCCGCTCCTCCTAAGTGAACCAGTGCGCGGTGTCCAGTCACAGATAAGAAGCGCCAAGAGATCAGACACAAGAGGGATGGGACATCCTGCAAAGGTAGCAGCAGAGCAAAAGGGAAACCCGACACACAAACCCCGATCGCAGGGGCTCAAAGTGTGATAGGAAATCCAGCAGAGACGGAAGCACCTTGGTGGAGAACACACCGGGTCACGGCCGGAGAACCACAGGCAGAACACACGGGCCCCTGGGAGACGGTGCCAGGCTCAGTTTTAGCTCCCCAGAAGTCAGCAGTGTGGCGTTGGGACCGGTACCACGGCGCTGTGGGTTAACCCTCCGCCTGCAGTGCCAGCATCCCATATGGGCGCCAGGTTCTAGTCCCAGCTGCTCCTCTTCCAGGCCAGCTCTCTGCTGTCGCCCAGGAGTACAGTGGAGGATGGCCCGAGTACTTGGGCCCTGCACCCGCATGGGAGACCGGGAAGAGGCTCCTGGCTCCTGGCTTCGGATTGGCGCAGCTCCAGCTGTTGTGGCCATCCGGGGAGTGAACCAACGGATGCAAGACCTTTCTCTCTGTCTCTACCTATCACAGTCTGTAACTCTACCTCTCAAATGAATAAATAAAATCTAAAAAAACCCAAAAAACCAAAAAAACCAAAAAAACAGGTGGGCGCACGATGCAGCGACGTACGCACTCTCAGGGCCATCAAACCGCAGTCGTGGTAACGGAAGCCCCGCACCTGCACTTCAGGGGCGTTGTCATTGCCCAAAGACCAAGTCCCACGGAGAGATGTAGGGCCATTTGGAATCTTTTCACCAACACGAGTGGCAGTCAAGTCTTAGGATACGTTGGCAACTAACGCTGCTGAGAAATTCTGAAAATCCACATTTTAATGAAGAAATGTTGCCTTTTCATCTACTCTGCCTCATCCTGGAACAATTTTACTCAGACGCTTTGTTTCCCTTTTGTCTCAAAGTGATTTCGCTTCCCGCAGGGTGCCCCCTGCACTTCTCCTTGCCCTGATGTTGGCTTACGGTCCCCTGGGACGCTGTTGTGAGCACCTGCTCCTGCCTGCGATGCTGTCACCAGGAGCCACTCCCAGCAGAGGGACAGGTGCATTTTGTTTTTCTATTTGCTCAGTGGGCGTGTATTTTTGCTTTCCACAACCTAATCACCTATTCTGTTGCTTGTCAAAGTGATATTTTAAAAGCTCTTTTACCAGAAGAACCAACAATAGAGGCAGGAAGTCATATCCTAGGAGTAATAATTAAACACATGACAAGTGAACTTGTCTTTTTGAGGTCAGTGGACCACCATAAGCCTCCTAATTCAGGATGCAAAGGCGTTCGTGACCCACACAGTGTCTCTCCCGCGGGGCTGTGGCATTCGGAAGAGGTGGCCGGGAGACTGAGGCGTCAGTGCACTGCTCTCTCCGAGGAGTCATCCTGGGGAAGCCGTGTCTTCCATGTGGGTGTGTGGGGGACGAAGAGTTACCGAATGTTAACGGCTCTGGCGATGCCTCCCCACATTTGGTCTTCACACTCGGTGGCCACGGCGCAGGCTTGGAAGAGCGAGGGCTTGGGGCGCAGCACCGCGCAGCCTGATGGGGTGTGGGCCTGAGGCACCACAGAACCTCGTTAGGCGAGCTCAAGTCTGCTTGCTTTGCTGCAAAGTGGCGACACGGATACCACCTGGCTCCCAGGTGCCGGGCCAGTGAGTGGGGGGCAGAGCCCTGGCACGGCGCAGGGTCTCAGGAGCCCATGGTTGTGGGGAAGGCTGCCATGAAGCCCAGGGCAGGGAAGCTGTGGCTCCCGGACTCGTCCTTGACCTTGCTCACAGCACGCGGCGTATGCGTCGTGTTCACGAGCGTCAGTGGGACGTCCACCTGTCGGCCTCACAGATTGCAGTCTCCGGGGCCCGACTCTCCAAGAAAAACCAGCGAGGACTGTCGGGGGGCTGGCAACCGCAGGAAATGTGGAGGAAGAATGAGAGGGCTCCACTGCTGATGCGCGGCCCGGGCCGGCCACGGTTAATGAGGCGCAGCAATGACACGCTCGCCACAGCGGGGCAGGGCCGGGTCCTGGCTGCACGAGCTGCATAAAGCCGGGGACAGGGCAGACACCTGTCCTCCCTGTGGACCCAGAGCAGCATCGCACCGTCACCCTGTCATGCGAGTGATCCATGAAGGGAGAGCTCCCCCGACGGCACCCGTGGTCAGTCTCGGTGGGAGAGGTCTGCCTTCTCCACCCTCAAGCTCTCAGGGACTTCCAGCAGCACCCTGAGCCCGTGGGTGCCTGAACTTGGTGGTGGTGGGGGGAGGCAGGCAGCTGGGAGGAGGGCAGAGCGTGGAGCCAGGGCCCTGTCTACAATGCTTGCTGGCTAAAATTTCCTGCCTTTGGAGTCTTCAGGTCTGGATGCGAAATCTCCCCTGAGAAACG